AATAATACTAATAGTTATTAGTAACATTTATAGGAAATAACAATGTAATAGTAACAATCCTTTCGAAAGAAAATTTTCATTATTTAGTACTTGTTCATGCAATACTCAAATCAGGGTCTCTGATTCAATCATGGAGGAGCTAGTATAATTAGCTGTTGTAAGTAAAAAAAAAATTTTTTTTATAAAGCTTGTAAATTTCCATTACCAAGGTTTGTTTTGAAACCTGTTCACCTGGTTTTTTTTTTTAACCTTCTCAGTTAGTAATTAATCCTTTTCTACCTTACTAGTGTTACTTTTACTCTTTCCTTCAAGGTACAATAAGCTTAACACTACATGCAAATAAAAACTTAAAAAAAAAAAAAAGAGAGAAAAAGGCAATCAGTAAATCAACCTTCTCAAGTTAACTGTTAGCCTACCTAAGTTATCTTAATGATATGAAGAGATACTTATCCTTTAGGAGATGTCCCTAAGATATCTCAAATCATTAGACAAGATACCTTCTTTTGACTAGCAGATGTTTTAATTTAAAGTCCAGGTACAGTCAAAATCTACATATTGATAAATTCAAGGTTTTTCTAAAACATAAGGGATACCATCTATTTAAAACTTTCAAAAGAATGGTTATGCACCATTAATTGTGGAATATAATGGGATTTTATTTAGAATTTTTAACATATGCTTATTAATGTGTATGCCACAAACCCCCTTCAAAAACTGAAGAACTTCTACGAGAACTTCTGTATCATTGGCAATGTCAATGAAGAAATGGGTGAAAAAACTGATCCTACAAAATTATCAGAAAGTTTTTTTCCACTGAGAATTACTTTTCCTCAATTTTTTTGCTCCCCTTAAATCCTTGTGCCTGTCAAAATAGTTCTGGTCCTAAAATTATAAAATTTTGTCTAAATTCATGCATCTTCTCAAACAAAAAAAGTACCCCACTGAAGTAAGTTATTGACCCAACCAAGTTCCATTTCTGCCATGAAGCCTTCCCTGTATTTTCACCACACTTAACATTTGCTTTGCCCTGTGCATGTACAAATTAATGTTCTGTCAGAAACATGCACATGTAAATACAATGGACTTATTTGTTTGCCTTAAAAAAAAAACCCAAACAATAATCAAATACCCACAATATAAAATAGGGAAAAACATTCAGTAGCTGATGGAACTTACAGCATTAAGAAGTGAATAAATGCTTACCATGAAAATGCTTAATATGCATTATTACAAATGAAAAACTAAAGAGAAAGTTATTAGTAACAGAACTTTATGAATTATAATCTCTTTATTAGAGATCTCTATAACATCTCTTAAATAACTTCAGTGTGCCATTATGAATCACAAACATTAACAAACCAAAATAAACCTAAAAAAAAAAATCTAAAATAAATTCAATTAAATCCTTTCATACCTGTAACCAGGAAAACTAAGAACCAGAATTAAATTCAGGCATATGATATTCACTTTCAGTTATCTGTATTCATTGACAAGTGAAGTCATTCAGTCACATCAACCATATGTAAATATAGTCCTATAAGCAGGTGATTGGTTCCAAGACCTCCAGGTATAGAAAAATCACATATACTCAAGTACGCCCTATAGAAACCACCTACACAAAAAATTGGCCCTCCATATATTAGGGTTTCCCATTCCACCAAAAATATATTTGCTGTCCACATTAGTTTGGGGAAAAAAGATACCTTATTTATTTGCATGTAACTGTTCAAGGGTCAACTATACTTAGAATTTTCCTGAGTTTGAGGTGATCTTTCAAATTAGAAAAATAATTAGCAGAGTAGGTCTTGGTCTTCCACCTCTAAAACTCCCATTGTAACTTCTAGTCAGGGCTGGGTGCCTATGGCTCAAGTGGCTAGGGCATCAGCCACATACACCTAAGGTGACGGGTTCAAATCCAGCCCCAGCCCACCAAACAACAATGACGGTTGCAACCAAAAAATAGCCAGGCGTTCTGGTGGGCGCCTGTGGTCCCAGCTACTTGGTAGGCTGAGGCAAGAGACTCGCTTGAGCCCAGGAGTTGGAGGTTGCTGTGAGCTGTGATGCCATGGCACTCTACCCAGGGGGACAGCTTGAGGCTCTGTGTCAAAAAAAAAAAAAA